ACCGACTGGCATTTAAGTCGATCGGACGGCTTGGTTAAATGTGCGGTAGATGCGGTATAAAAAAAGGTAACATTGTGTACAGGCATAAAAATAACATTCGCGAGAAACGTTTATCAAATTGAGATTAATTTGCCGGGTACGACTTTTTTTCATACGTACAAACGACCAAACACGATTACATAATATTATGCAAACTTATACACTTGCCGTCCGCCGTGGACCTTTTTAATAATTAATGTAATTGCGGAAAAAAAAACGCGTAAAATGTTGTATGTAGTGAAAATAAAAGTTGTGAAAAAGACAAAAACGCACACATTCAACAACAATAATTTACACAGAGGCTCTGAACAGATTTTCCACGGCTAACGGTGAAACAAAACCGTATACGACATTATGATCGCACCGTGTTTAAGTGGTATTGTCGATTCTTACACACACACAATGGCATGTGTCGCCCGAGTGTCCTCTCCGTGAAGTGTACCTTATGTTTATGTGCGACTCGGCGACGGTCGTAAAGAAGCTGACAGGTCGAGGCGGGCACAAAGGCGGTCGGGGCCGGGGAGGTGTCGCTTAAGGAAAACATAATAAATCCGGAGATTTTCAATTACGGCAAAAGTCACACGTATACGCCACAAGCACGGATGTGTAAAAAATGTATACACATTGTGCACAGACACACGACGCCCATACCTATACGTGCACTTACAACAACAATAATAATAGAACAGGCTAATTATTTCTGCCGGCGGTAAGTAATTTACAACTTGTCGGTCGCCGATCACTTAGCCAGAGATGTTGATTCCGCGGACTTGACTTGACTACTTGGCCAAGCTGAAAAACGAAACCCGCTCCGGGTAAACCGATATTGCGGTCTTGCGGTGGTCGGTTATTACAAATTTATTATTATTGCCGGATTTTATTTATCCAACCGACTGACTATACATACAGCGCACGCACGCACCAATGCTTTTAATACACGTCCTACACCCCGCAAAGAACACAAACGTCTTATATATATATTTTCTGTTTATTTATACAAAGTCAAACGGTCGTTATTACCACCACGCATTTGAGTGCTGCGGCGGCGATGACATGACGGGCGTGTCGTGAAAATAACAAGCCGTATAATGTGTGCGAGACGGCGCATACAGTGTCTGTTATGGCGTATATAATATATAATAATATACATGAAATGCATTACCCAACATATTAGGTATAATAAAAGCTAACGTCTTGTAAACAAAAGTGTTCTACACACAGTTTGTGTTTTTAACCCGCAAGTCGGCGCTCTCCGAAAACTGCAGTATAAAAGTTCTAAGATGCTTTAAGTTCACTACGTTAAAGTGGCATCGGTGCTGCTGCTGTTGCTATATACAATCAATATACATTATGATAATATGATGTGCGGACGGGCACTGAACGTCCTACACGCCCCGGAGGAACTGGTTTTCATCACTCGAGAGCTGTGGTTCGATCGAAATCAAAACAAACCGGACGGGGTCGTTTAGATTGTGTTATTATACACTTAGAAAGCGTCCGACCACTCCGGCCGGCTAATGAGCGGGCTAAAATAAAAACATAATTAACTCGTCAAAAAGCGTACCGGTCGTGTTAATAACGACAACCGGAGTCGAGTCTAAATTATATTATAGACAAACCGAAAACGGATCGTTGTGTAATAATATGATTACTACAGATAAACACTAGCCAGAGGTCTGCACTGTGTATGATGTTTGTGATGATACTTGGCTGGGAAAATTTACTGGCCTCATAACCCGCCATAATAGGAAAGCGAATTGTCGAAAAGTAGTTATTTTTTTTTCTCCTAAAAGGCCAAATATTAAAAACGTTACACGCGCCGCACACTGCTGCGTCCATTACGCAGATTGGTTTGGGTAATGGAAGTTTCTAATTATTATTTCCAAAACATTTTCGTTTGGATGCTCGAATAAAGTGCGTTTATATTGTAGGTACAAGACCTTATTTATAAATGAATAACAACGACGACCAATCGAAAGACGTTTGGAACGAAAGTAAATTCGCATTGTATAGAGATACACATTATTCGCGCGTTACACTCTTTCTTGTACGCGGAATGGACATTTTGCCAATTAAGTTGATGGATAGCGCCGGCGTTCTAAAGGCGCACATTTATTATATTATATACCTACCTACCTATAAAAAAAAAAAGAAGTATCCGCATGGACGGCGAGAAAATGCGGTAATTTCCCGGCCGGGTTTAACACAGCTATATACCGGCGGTTAAGTTATGCAAAACGCTCTATCAATCACTTTCAGAAAAGAAAAAAAAATACACACAGCGGTAAGGCTTGCACTATTTTCCCAATAGCGGCGTCTGCGATTGAAAAACTTGTCTGGCCGTCGTCCCTAAAGATAGGGTTGTCGTTCAAGTATAAAGGTAAATAATTAATAATCTCGGGGGCTCGAACCCGTAATATTATATTTTCCGGAACAAGACGTACCTATGGGCGGTGTTTGATGAAACGCTTATGGCGACCATAAATCCCCTAAGTCGGACTTGATGAGAGAGACCGCGGCCGCCGATGACAAATAACCGCCGCGCGCGTTGCAAAGGAGAATGTTCTCATAAGCCGGCCGCCCCGTGTCGTCGACCGGCGAAACGGAAATTTATAGAATATATACCTATATACATATAAAGTACAATATTATGAACAAGTACAAACAAGGGTTAAAAATATATATGCAACGCTCGTCTGCCGGGTTTTATTGCCGATTCCGAGGCGTAGTCGTGCGTGCCGCCGCTCCGGCCGCGCGTTATTGAGGTGGTGAAAAAAATTGGGGCGGTCTCTTTTTTTTCTTCTCTTGCTGACGATATCCATTTGTTTTTATCATTCTATTTCATTAATTTCTGATGAATATTTATGTCCGACGCCGAGTTAATGAAATCCCCCGTAGTAGTACACGCTGCGGCGCCCCGCGGTAGGTATACATATATATATATATATAACCAGACGCCGCGGTATAATAGAGTCGTTTTTTCCGCACGAAAACGACTCTTGGCACTACTACTCGCCCGGTATAAGATTTTCAAGACCTTTACTGTGTGCGGAAACGAGGGCAGCAGCGCAATCAGGGGCGGGAAAAACATAAAATACGAGCTGGTAAAACGGTCGAATACAAATGGCCGCTATTGGTGTTTGCGCGCCGCGATGAAAGGTTCTTGTTTATATTATGCAGTGTTCTCCGAGACTGGCCAGAGTCGGAAGAAACGTTTATATTATGCAAACTTATTTTTGACAATCTAAAAACTGCATACGGATAATAGATATGGATCTCTTTGATCGTAAGCCCCACTGGGGAGGGGGCGAGGTCGTCAATTTTTGCTCTCACCCAAACAACATAGAAAGTCTGCGTCAACTGACTTTAAGCTATAAACTATATAATTTAACCGTTTTATATTATTATTATTATGTTGTTAGTACACCTTTATCTTTGTTCCGCTATAACTCGAATGTAGTCGTGTGTGTAATATTATATGTTCACATACCATACATCTGAACTCGCGAGAAAAACGAGTAAACGGTTGAAAACAACCGTAATAATAATAAAATTATGACGTAGGATAATAGTGTACAGGATAATAATAATAATACTATAGCCAACAGGTAATATATTGCATCTGAAATTGGTACTTTGTTAAACATCCATCGCCGTAAAGATATTTGCGCGTATAAGACCAAGTACATACACTCGTATGCACTCTACACGAACGACTCGTTTGGTTTTTATGTTTGTTTTGTTTAATGATTTTTTGAAAATAAAGGAATATATCTTGCCCTCTCGACAGCAATGCACGTGTGTACATAAATTCACATTGTACAAGACCGTTGCGATAGGCGCTATGATTAAATATTAAATTTATATTCCATCAAACGCCATACGCGATGATTTAATGATAAAATTGCCGTGGTATCTGCAACACGTCGCTGTACCTATGTGCTATGGTCGGTATAGCCAAACATTTAATGTTAAAAAAAAAAATTGATTTCTGGGCGAACCGGTGACGGTAAAAAAACCATTGGAAGAGGATATATTTTATAAAATATTGTTTTCGTTTTTTACCCTTTCGAGACACGGTTTTCTAGGCGGACGACTCCCCGCAGCGGCGTTTCAAAGCACACACGCCCAATCTTTTTTTATTATTATTATTGTTATTATTTACATAATACAATATTTATGAATTACATACACGATGCGACAGGGTAGGGGAGGGAGGGGGCGCGCAGGAGATACGTGAAATATTTTATACGGCAAAAAGCGCGTTTTCCACGCGATAAACAATATGAAAATCTAAGAAAGTTCCGGTCGTGTACACGCCGAGGGTAAGTATGTATGTGTGCGTCTTTGGGATTCATCATAAAGTGTGTATCATCATGTGTATCGTCGCCGCGGATGTGAATTTATTGCTGCGAAGGGCCCGGCTCGATATTGCCGGGGCGCGCGTTTGCATAAAACCAACCAAAAGGGCTACTTGTGTACATACAATAATCTATAAATGTATACTCGGTTCTGGCGAAATCTATATAATATCTCATATATAAGAATGTGTCGTATATATATATATATAGTGTCGGCGTTGCTGTTATTTTTATGGTCCTCCTTCGGTTGCGGCGGCGGCGGCCGGCCGGACTGGTGGCACGGCGGCGCGCCTGTATGTCTCGAAGAACGATGCGGCGGAGAGTGGAAAAAAACTATACATAGGTATACACACGCGGATATCTTTGTGTGTACATAAATATACAGAAAGGGCAACCGGCTATAAACGGCGAACCCGATTTTTATATGCGCGCGCGTAACGAGCGGAACTAGCCATCGGAGACACACACACACACACACGCGACACCGCGGGTGCGCTTTGGAAAGGACTGGTTTTTTCTTTCTTTTTTTTTCCCAAAACGCCCAAAGTGTGTATGTTGTGTACTCGTGAAGCACAAGTTCGCGGTCCGATTGACACTTACCGTAGACGGTGAGCAGCGCGGGATCGCTGAGCCTCTTGGCCGCGACGTTTTCGGCCACGCAAGTGTAATTGGCAGTGTCCTGTAGCCTGGCCTGGCCGATCAACAGATTGCCCTCGCTCGACACGATCATGTTGTTGTCCGGTTCGATTTGCACGCCGTTCCGCAGCCAGTACACCCTGGGCGAAGGCACGCCGTCCGGCGGCAAACACCGCAGTTCCACGTTCCGGTCGGACTCCACGCTGACCGAGTACGGTATCGAGTTGAACGGTTTCTTCAAGTCTGCAAATAACGCAAAACACGACGAGTAAGTTATGGGTAACATGTATTATATGTATATAGGGTCGACGGCGAGTGGCTACTGCTGTTGCTGTCGATAAAAGCGAAATTCGATATGTACGTTAATAATATACTCGGAAAACACATTAACGACCCTAGTTTTTTTTCTTATATATAATATACATTTTTTTTTTTTTTTTACAGAAATATAGTGCACTCGTTGTTTGTTTAGTTAGTCAGACGGATTATACAAATAAAGAGGACACCACGACGATGACGATGAGACCCTCGCGAGTCATAATCAATCAACGAGGGCCGCGCATAAGAGTGTGGTTTGGCGGGGACAAACAAACGGAACGGCGGTGGCTTCCGCGAGTGTGACCGCGGAACGGCAGCTTCGCCCGACAAAAACGACCGTTTGCTCCGGGCCGGGCACCCATTAAGCCTATGCAAACATTGAGTACACGAAAAGGATTTATGTTTCCCAAAAGGAGGAGTGCTGTTGTATGCTATTACAATACCCACAGCACTCTGGCGGAGGCGTACACGGCGCGTGAAATATATACGTCCTCGGTTCCTGCTGTGTGTGTGTGTGTGTGTATTATTACTATTATATGTGTACAACCCCAATATAATATTATATAGTTAGGACCGCGAGTCCGGCGACGCACCTGCTGATAGAGTATATTATAGTCTATACGACGACTTATCGGCTGTACATTACGAGAACGGGTATGTAATGGAATTTGTATTGTCTGAGAAGTGATTAATGAAAAAAATATATACACAACACCCGCCGACGACGACGACAATGGGGCGCGCAAGGGGGAACTCGATTAGCCCGCGGCCCTCTGCGGCGGAGTGTACCTACAAAATGTACACAGGTACGCGCACAGGTAATGAATTGGATCGAATATAGAAGGAGCTTCGGCGCGAGGTGTAAAAGTAAATAACAATGGATTTTGATTGATGATGCCGAAGATTAATCGTAGCGTAACTGGCTACCAAAACGACAACGCCTAAAAGAAAAAGAAAAAAATACACATATATATATATACAATCCACATTGTCACCCGAACGACCGTCTCCGGTGCGAGGAATCCGTCACGACGAAACCGCACAACTTTCTTCTAGTCGACCGTGTGTGTGTGTGTGTGTTTTTTTTCCTATCCGTATAAATCAAATTACTGTGTTATGGGGAAAAAAAAAAGTAAGTATACGAGTTACGACGACGAGGACGAGGACGGCAAAAAAAAATACACGGTACTCGACAAAGCTAGCGGGAGAAAAAAAAACCCGCTCCGGGGTTTATATTGCCAATAATTTATCAGATCAAATACAGCGCGCCGTCGCTCTATAACCAACCGCTACTACTACTACTACTACTCCTCTGCTACCCTCTTAATTGTAACTGCTGCTAATAAATCAACGTCAGTCTTCAATCCACCAGTGGCGGTTGACGCGGACGAGAACGGTAGGACCGCCGCGCAAATCCAGTCGTGTCGGCTTCGGATATATATATATATATATTGTATACTTGCTCGATACCGGCATGAAATATTTATAAAAAAAAAAAAAACAATAACAACACAGCTTTGCCGTACAAAAACACACTCAAAAGCGGGGCGGCCTCCGATAAGATTATCAATACGGTTTTGACCCCACCCCCCCTTACCGCCGGTTTCCCCTTGCACAATGCACATGTCGTGGGCGACGTTTGTAGGAATAGGAAACAAAAATACAGCCACGTTATGCATTTTATGCTAATGCTACCGCCGCGCCGGTTCCAACGGCGACCCATTAGGTATATTGTACAAAGTACACTTGTACGACGACAGAGTTCAACGAAAAGTCAAAAACAGATAATGTACGCATCCGCTTCGGGGTTAACACCGGCGTGGTGTGACACCAAAAAAAAAAAAAAATTCTCAAACACTACATTGCGTTTGGTTAAAAATATATTATTATAATCCGGCGCGTATAAGGTGCACGGGGGTTTTTTTTTTTGTACAAAGCGGCTTATATAGGAATTATTATTATAATATAGTACACACAATAGATGTGATAAATACAGTTTCTCGACAACTCTCTCGCCGCATAAATCTCACACCTAAGACACCTCCTAATAACGAAGCGCAAACAACGCAGCCGATTCCGGGGATTCGTTGATTTCAATAGTACATTTATATAAGACTTTTTTTGTACTCATGTTGACTTGTATGTGCTATACTAACACCAGTATGGCCACAGAAAAGATGAAAAAAAGTTCTCGTTGTTAAGCCATATTGGTACTCCTCCTCAAGTTAAAAGTGTTTTTTCAAGATACTGTCATTATTGATATCTTATCACCGTGAACGGTATTTTTATTTCTTCTAACTAGACAGACTGACTATACTGTTTGCGCCCCATTATAACTACTTCAGCCAAGTAAACGTTTGTTGTTATTTTCCTATTTCTTTTTTTTTTCGTTTCCGTCCGAACCTCTACCGAATTGATACAAATGGCGGCGTAGAGGGGACTCATTACGTTTCATTATCGTATCCGCCGCCGCTTGCACATCCCCACACACACACATTATAAGCTCTATTACCCGAACACGGGAAGTCTTATTCGGATGGGTATTATTATTGTTATTACTTGGCCGCGAGGAAGAAGACAATTTGTCTCGTTTAGCCAACGTGTTATTATAATGTGTATTTTATTTTGTCGCCGTACTTTGTGTGTGCAGTGTGTGTCTTCTTCTTATATTCTACGGTTTTTACTAGGTGCCCGTTAATTTTACCGGTCTGTTCTCTCGTCCTTTTGTGTCCGGACGCAGCGCACAAAGTTGCCGTGTGATGAATGACTATATACACAAACAACACACCGGCCTTAAGGAATTGCCCGTGATTAACGACCGGGCGTTTTAATGTCACACCGATTATTATAAACACAATTAATATGTCGCGCACAAGCGAATTCGGGTCACTAAACTTTAGGCGCACTTATCATAATATTATGTGCATTCGAGGATTATGACAGTGTACCGCGGTATACGTACATATGGCTGGTGAAACCGTAACCTTTTGTGTCAAAACGGCTCTTGTTTTACACACACAATAATAATGCAATCGTCGATCCGCCGCTGGTGGTCGACACAGACGTTTTGGAAAGTGTACTTAAGCGCGGAAATCCTCGGATAATTACAAACGTGCCCAGCGACGGCGTTTCGAAAATATCCAAACAACTTGTAGCCACATCGAACGTTTTTAATCCTTCCAAAGTGTGAATCATGCGGGGGGGGGGGGAACTGCTATTGTTCGGTCGACCGGGGTGGTTTATAGTGGTGTTTTTTACCGAGTATATTATTTAACAGTGTCTATTTGTGTACAACTGCTTGCTGGAGACATCGACAGATATCGATTTCGATGTAGCGCCCCCCCCCCCTCTAAAGTGTATTTTGCAAAATCGAATAGGCCGCTAATTATGTACAAAATTATAGTGACGGATATACGACGGCGGGACCGGAGCCTATTATGTAAATGTATTTTTCGTCGGCAAACCCGGGTATTGTTCGGCGGCAAACGGTAATCTAATTTCGGCAGTCCGACAACAAAAAAAAGGGATTGGAAATAAATAAATTCCCGACGTCATATCGCGAAAAATGCCTCTTTCAATCTGCTCGGCGTCGCTTTAACAATAACAGAAGCTTTCGAGTGTACATGTCTATTATTGTTAAGTTAGTTTACCTCGTCGCTTCGCCGTCACACAAAACACGATATTGGATAACGGATGACCGGCCGAGCTAAGCGAGTCAGTCCTAACCTGCTCGGCTCTGACGCTGTTTGTTCGGATTTCAATTAAAAATGCCGGTCCGTTTAAGCTGCCTACACCGTCTCCGTCCATCTCTATCTCTCTCCTCTACTTTGTTGGTCTTATTCAGCGGCACGGAAAGTTCAATTTCGAAACTCTTTTGTTTCCAGGTAACGCCTCTCCGGTATTAACAGCGCGCGCCAGAGAACGATGATGTTTGGACACATTCGACCAGCGTGTGCTGCGCAGTGAAATGACTTTCTCGGCCGAGCACCGCACACACGCTATGAAAACACAAATTAAACGCTCCGGCTCGAAGTCAGAATAGTCGGCAAGATACTTGGAGTGTTACGGAATTGGAATTCTTGGCTTAAAATTGACTATATAATAACAGTTTATTACTGGACCGCGATCGAAAACCAATTACACTAAACGTTACGGATAAACGCGGGTATAATGCATTTTTTATTTAGGCCGCAGGGGTTTATTAATAAAACAAAATATAAAAAATAGGTGGGCCAAAGTCATTAAGCGGGTTTCACGCGTTTGTGACAAGGTGGTCTAGCCGGCAGTGTGGCGTTAAATTGAAATCGGTCATATCTCCGGAGCGTCTCCTACTACTGATCTATTCCGCCGCGAAACACTCGGATGGTAATTTATTCACACGGTCTGCACAGGCACAGCGTACGGCTTATTATAATTTATAATAACAAACGCTATAGATAGCGCGTGGAGTGTGTAATTTACAAGGCTAGCAGCCAAACGGATATTGTGGATACGGCGGCGGTCGCAAAGGTTGCAATACATATAGTTTCCGGGCGTGTCGACTGTGGTTCATTATTGGATTATTATACATTCAAACGGTGTTTTTTTTATTATTGACTCGGATCAGTGTGCGCCAAGGTTTTGAACACAATTTAAATAAATACGGATAATAATTTTGGTATTCCAACGCGCGCCGCAGATAAGGAAATATATCTACAACAGTGGTCGTATATTATAACTAGGATTAACTCGAACACACGAGACGCACATAAGACTAAAGCCATCGTCAACACACTATTTCACGTGGGTATATCCCGCTTTTAAGTCGTATACATATATATTATTATAATGTTATATCATTTGCCTCGGGAGCGCACATCCATCCAGTTGATGCGATACAACAATTACAACAAAAGTGAATACTTTTAAGCTGTCTAATTTTCGAA